TGACTGTTTGTCTCTATTTTATTTTATTATTTTACGAATTAACAACAAAACACCAATAATGTTAATACAATACAATATTTAATGCTATATGAAAATAAGAAATGATATATGATGAATACGTGCGAACATGGGTCCAAATATTTGACGAATTACCATAATCAGTACGACCCTACAAATGCAACAAATACAAATGCCAACACATTGACATATACGGTACCAGGACATGTAATGAAAAAAATTATTCATGGTATATCACAAAATGAAAATACGATTTTCACAAGAACAAAACAAGAGATGTTTCGCTCAAAATAGCGAATTGGTAGTTTACTCACAATAGCAAAACAAATGATATCTCGCTCAAAATAACGAATTGATAGCTTATTCAAATAGCAAAACAAATTATATCTCGCTCAAATATAGCGAATTGATAGTTTACTCACAATAGTAAAACACTGGGTATTACAAAACCCCTCCAATAGCCCACGACCAAAATATTATATATATAAAGGAAAGTTTATTTGTAGTCACCGACCACCGACTATCAGTTCCACTGGCCAAACAAGCAAAGACTATTTATAGTCACCGACCACCATTGATTCCTGAGAGAGTTGTTGACGCCTTTCCAATCTGCTTGTTGAGCTCGGCATCGAGTGAGAGGTTGTTGGTAATGGTAGATCCAAGGTAAGTGAACTCACTGACTACTTCTAGTTTAAAGTTGTTGATGATTATGCTGGGAGGGTCCGCGTCCTGAGCTATCACGTTGGTTTTCTTTAGGCTGATGGTCAACCCGAATTCATCACATGCTTTAGCAAAGCGGTCCATCAGGTGTTGTAGTTCAGCTTCTGTGTGAGTGACTATAGCAAGCATTATCTGCAAAGAGCATGTCCCTAATGGTTGCTTTCCTTACTTTGCTCATTTCCTTCAGTCGTGCCAGGTTGAACAGCCTGCCGTCTGAACGCGTGTGCAGGTAGATCCCTACTGTGGACCTCCCAAAGGCGTACTTAAGAGAAGATGCCAAAGAGAGTGGGGGCAATGACACAGCCTTTTTTTTACTCCGCTGTGGATGTTGAATGGTTCGGACGATGAGCCATCGTACTGCACTGTGCCTTTCATGTCTTCATGGAAGGACTGGACCATGCTTAACAGCTATGGAGGGCATCCAATCTTCGTCAGGATTTTGAAGAGTCCGTCTCTGCTGACCAGATCGAATGCTTTGGTGAGGTCTATAAAAGCCAGGAAGAGGGGTCTGCGTTGTTCTCTGCACTTCTCCTGCAGGTGCCTGATGGAGAAGATCATGTTAATTGTGGACCTCTCTGCGTGGAACCCACACTGAGACTCTGGATACAATCTGTCGGCAAGCGTCTGCAGTCTGTTCAGGATGACTCTAGTGAAGACTTTACCCACGATGCTGAGAAGTGATATGCCCCTGTAGTTGTAGCAGTCACTTCTGTCGCCCTTGTTCTTATACAGAGTTATGATGTTGGCGTCTCTCATGTCCTGAGGCACTGCACCTTCATACCAGCACTGGCAGAGAAGATCGTAAAGGTGTGTGAACTGCCGCTACACTTAATGACTTCTGCTGGGATGCCTTCCTTCCCTGTGGCTTTATCTGTGGTCAGTTTCTCTAAGGCTAACTTTAGTTCTGCCGCAGTAGGTTTCTCATACAGTTTGGTCAAAGAAGGGAGGTTTTCAATGGTTTTGAGGGCATCGTTGGTCACGATGTTCTCTCTGGAATACAGTTCAGAGTAGTACTCCACCAAGCGCTCCATCTGTTTGCCCTTGTCGTAAATGATGTCGCCTGCAGAAGACTTCAGTGGAGCTATCACTTTCTTCGTTGAACCCATTGCTTTCTTTATGCCATTGTACATGCTTCTGACGTTTCCGTTGCCTACTGCTGACTAGATGCTATGACAGAGTAGAAGCCACTATTCATTGGCGCACTGCCGTGATAACCTCTGCACTTTGCTTCTGGTAGACCTATATGCATGTAGTGTCCTCTGGCAGGGTGAACGCTTGTATTCCAGGTGGGCACTGCGACGCTCTTCTATTGCTTGCATGAGTGTGGCGGAATTGGCGTCAAACCAGTCATTGTTCTTTGTATGATTCTTACCAAAGATTCTTGTGGCCGTGCTGTATACAGTATCTCTGATGTTGTCTCATCTCTCTTTGGCACTGAGGATACGCAGAATTTGCTCCGATTATGAAAGATTCCTAGAAAGGTCTGAAGAGCTGGCTAAACATTTAATTTACCGAGGCTACGACAAAGACCTGATTGCGGAGGCAATCCAAAGGGCCAAACAAACAAACCGTGATGACCTACTCAGATATGGACAGAAAGAAAAGGTTGATAGGATACCATTTATTCTGACCTATCACCCAGACAATCCCAAAGTAGGTAAAATCATCGCAAACCACTGGCCAACCGTGCAATCGTCAGACATACTAAACCTAATACTTCCGAACAAACCTGTAGTAGCTTACCGGAGACCAAAAAACCTAAAGGACATCCTAGTCAGGGCCAAGCTAACAACAATCGCTAGTCAAAACCAACCTAGTCAATCTGGACCCTGTGGCGATAAAAGATGCAAAACCTGTCAACATATGATAGAGACCAAGACATTCACTAGCACAGTGACTAAAGAAAAACTAAACATACATGGTCCAAACAAAACGTGCAAAACAGAGAATGTGATTTATCTCATCACATGTAAGATCTGTGGCCTTCAGTACGTGGGAGAAACTGAAAAGCTACACATAAGGATAAACCTTCATAGATCTGATTGGATGACAAAAAAGCTGTACAGAAGCCCGGTCGCAGAACACTTCTCCTCCCCTGGCCACACTTTCAGTGATATAATACTTATCGCTATTGCTAACAACCACAGCTGGAGTTCCGAAACCAGGAAGGAAAAGGAATCATACTGGATACGCCGCCTTAGAACATTGAAACCAAGCGTTCTAAACCAAGAAGACTAGAAAATGAAAACTATGCACTAGTAGATTTTAACATTTTCTAAATCTTCTTATCCTTCAATTTTTACTATAAGAATAACCGGTATAGAATCAAATATCCGGGATATAATCTGCGTTACATATGTACACAAAGTAAAAATAGATGTCGCTTTGGCTTGTAGACTTTTAGGGAATTATACAAAGTTTTCAGTTTCCGCAACTAGTCTATACAAGCTGGTTGTATTTATAGTTTTAGCACATGTGAAGATAGAAATGTAGAGGTTTACAAACACAACGTTTTTGTGTTTATTTGTTTGTCGTAACTATGTTTTGTATTTGCCTTCGAAAAAGACTCATTAAGAGTCGAAAGCGCTTAGGCTAGTTAGTTACTAGTTTCATACTGTTCGTCGTCAGTTTATTACAACTTAAAGATAAATCTTATACCAATCTAAGTGAATTTATCTTAATAAAGACTACGAGGAGCATGAAAAATGACACGTGCTACTAGCCTTTCAAAAATTTTATCAGCTGTTAAAGGACGGAATGCTAAGGCAATCAACAATGAAAAAAAAACATTTTTAAAGTTCATTTCATTGTAACAAGTTTTTGTTCCCAACAAAAATGCCCAAATTAAGACACCTTAAGGATTTGTTCGAAATAAAAGCATGGCAAGCGTGGGTTATAATGGGATTCATACGCAGGATCTGAATTCTAATTTGCCTTCATCTACGTACGCGTGGGAAACATGGATTGTGCGTATTAATATTTGATGGGCTCATTATTCCTTTCTGGTGCAAATCTTCCCATACATACATGCGACTTAAACCACACACCAACGCGTTAAAATGGTCAACATTTCAGGAAAATGTCATTTCAATTTATATATTATTGGTGGATTTTAGTCCTTGATATATTAAAGGATCCATTTATTGTTCCATGTACTTTACACTGTCCATTGAATTGATTCATCGACTCACTAGTCACAATATTCCGTTCAATAAATACCCACACAGTGCCTCTTAATCATGAGAGGAAGCTAAATCGTTAGTACATCCTCGTTATGCTTTAAGGGATTTTATTTTCACTCTGATATTCAGTAAAGTCGGAGAAAGCTGTTCGGATGTTAAGTTTTGTTATAAGAGGCGAATATTTGTGGTAAATAGTTTAATTAGACTGATTTCTGAGATTGGAACGTGACTTTTCGTAAACGGTTTGCATTTCTTCTGGCACTGTTTGACAATGAATAGCGTGACACATTTGCAGCTGATTTGGTAATTGACTATATTTCATGTACATATTATTTACTGTCTACAACAATATGGAAATGAGTAAGTTAAAGATATAATGTATGTAATGTTGCCAAAAGCTGATTCATTAGACCCATTATCAGACACAGCATACATGCAATATGTTTAATATGTTTAACAGCATCGTTTGGAAAGCCATTGTCTTTACAAGTTTTTTTTTCTGCACAAACCCTGAGGTAAAAAAAAAATATCACTTGAATTTCATTTTCAAGAGCTTCGCTTACATGCAGCGCAATAATTGAAAACTTTACACTTGAACCGTATGATCAACAATCGAAATAGCTTGCTCGTTAAAGCTTGACTAAAAATAACTACAATGACGAATTGATCAAGAGGCAGATCCTTTGGTCAAATGGTCTATACAGATGGGTATTGACTACCAACGCCATCTACGAAAGAGAATCTGATGATCCTACTTCCTATAATTCAAAGAAGAAAATTACAATGCCATTTTCATCCCTTTTAACACCCAGACTTTAGTGTCACTACAGAATACTATATAGATAATAACTACCAAAAAACTCTCAAAATGGTAAATCGTAAATTTTATACAAAGTAAATGCGAATGAAGTAATTATATGATCATTATGATACAAATTAGGTAGTAAATGTGCATTACAATATGTTTTATATATCCGTCCACATATATAATATGCTAGTGGTGTTTGGGTGGCTGTCTGTCTTTTATTGGGATAGGGAAAGTAAACAACTTTAACATTGAACCTTTAATTAAACGTGGACTGCTCTATTAGCTAAGATGGTTAGGGCGTCTGCCTCGAATGCGGGAAGTCGCGGGTTCAAACCCGACAGAGACATACCAAAGACTTATAAAAATGGTACTATCAGTGTGAGAAGATGTAGGCAGAATTTTGTAATCTTTAAGGTCGTGATTTTAACTTAATTGGTACCTATGGTTTAGGACACTCGGCTGAAGTTTTTTGAGGCCAACAGTAGATGGCCGGCAATATGTTTATATAGTGTCGAGACGATTGAGTCGGGTAGTGTCTTCAAAGGAATTTAAGATCTTTCTGAGGCTACGAAGGCTAGATTTCTGCAAGCACAGTTTCATGTCAGAAAAATTGTGGGCAAACAATGCCGAACATTAAAACTAGGCGTACCCAGCCAATCGGAATTGGGGAAATTTAAACATCTACCAGTAGGAGGGGCTAATGTCTCAGACAGGTATGGGGCAAACGAAATATCTTGCCACACCTGTGTAAAATTAAGCATTGGTTTCCTGACCTTTCAGAAGAGCGATGGATACAATTGAGTATCAAAAACGATTCTGGGGAAAAGATAACTTTGAACAAACGAGAATGGTAAATGGAGAAAAGAATTTAACTGGGAAAAAATGGAAAGATTCTACAGGAAGGAAATATCTTAACTGAATATTTGTAATAATCTGCTTAGATATGAATTTGTTAGATCGTGTAGCATAACTTACAGCTAATTTATTAGGACACGGAGCATACCATATCCTAGAATTATTAAGGAATATTACATCATAGTGTATGGTTGAATCTATTAGATAATTGAAGTCGGATGTGTAGATGCATTTATCAGTATGTAGACTGTAAATAAGGAAGTAGACAGTCAATTTACATAGTCATGTGTATCATTCTGTAATTAATAGAACACATGCAATGTGAACGATTACCGTAATAGCATTAGACTGCGGTGTCATAAAATAACATTTACACGGTGTGTGCATGTGTTAAGTAACTTCGTAAGCAATATATTTTGTATATAGTGAAAGGAGTTTATGAGATACATAGACGACAACGTGTGAGAAGAGCCTGGTAAGTGCTCGAAATTTCTCTGATGAAAAGTCCACGAGAGAGTGGTAGATTATGAAGATTTGTATAACGAGAACATGATGTACGTTCCTCATATTTTCTATATAGAGCCCCCAGGGTGTACGTCAGAGACGGCGCTGAATTTCCAAAAGAGGGAAGAAGAATGTACAATAATTAACATCTAATGAGCCAGGGAAGAAAGAGTACACATAATGTACAGGAAGGATGCAGAATGGAAAAGACATAGCCCAAGACCCGGCATGGGAAGAGTGCACTATGGAAGAAGTTAGTATAGAAGAAGAAACGAATGCAATACAAGGAACTACTCACTGAAAGGAGTTTCTCTCACATTAGGAAGTTAACCCACATGCACAAAATTAAAGTCATTTGTCAATAGGCCAATTAATAAAAAAATGTATAAGTGAAATGTAATTTGATTTTTCATAATAAGAAATTATTTGAATAGATTATATATAATTAATATTGGTTACAATGTTACATACTTTTGGTTGATTTTTTCATATATTTAGGCTATCCGACATTCTGACCAGGGACTCGTGAGTCAATCAAAATTTAAGTGTCCACCTTTCTGTCCTATTAGTCCTAATATTGTAAAGGGGATGTGACAAGCAGCTGCCTCACTTGCCACTCAGAATTAAGAGGTTAGTGTTAGGACAGGTTGTCCTAGTGTCGGGATAATATGACAGAGTGGAACTTGACGCCATGTGTCTACGGCATAATGCCCCAGTGCTAGACATCACTACAATCAGCCATACTGCAGAGAGGACTGAAAATTGTTAAAGCTATGTTAGTAATACAAATAACAAACTAAATACATAAGAACAAGCACAGGGACCCATGGTAATGGATATGTCGAACCTCCGACAAGATTGAACCATATAATTTAATACTACAGACGGTACTTTAATGGTCAGTCAGTGGAAAATGTTATAACTGCTTTTTATTTTTAAAAAATACAAATTTAGAGGTGCTTCTTCTTCCATATCATTGATATCGTACATACCTTTAGCACAAAACACGACAGCAACCTATCACAGAATCAAATGAACCAAATTTATCAGTTTTGAGTTAGACTAGTAGTCTATGAAAGCTAATTCTGAAACTACTCAGTTCATATTTGTAATACTCCATAAATCTGACTGAAACAAAAGACCGACCACTGAAAGCGTAAATTTAAACTTATTTCTAGAACGGCGGATATTACTGTTTAGTTTTTATGTTTTTCTGGCCTAGATATTCATCTATCCTCCACAATAAAAAATAAACACTTGTGTTCGAAAATGAAAGCACTTGATGTATATTTATTTTTATGCTAATTAGTTTTATAATTTAATGAAAACAATTGAAAATGCTACTATTGCATTATTATTTATATATTTTTGTATGGAGCATTACATGAAAAATATGTATGTTGTCCTAACCATGGTTAGTTCCTATAACACATAAAGCATGGCTTTCAAATGAAATAAATTAAAATTAAATTGAAGACTCATGATATTAATATCAAATTCGATCGAAAGATTCGAATCAGCTCTATTCTAAATATTCATCTTGTATTTTACTGCTTGCTATATTGATAACATATATTATCTATCATTTACAATGAATGCATGGCAGATAAATTCCAACGTAAATCTCCTTCATTTTCTTTTATCATCAGTTTCTTTGTCTTTATTCCTCCTTAACCCTATTATGTTCTGCATTTGGCATTATGGATGTTACTGCTTTTCATTGTATCCCATTTAATTTGAATTCTGGGTTAAGGATTTCCTACCGACACATATGAATTCGGAATTGTACTTACTCTAATACTGAAAATCACAATTAAACTATATCAATATCAGTTGTTACTTGACAATATTTACTGCATGCAAACTAGATGACGCTGGCAACAGTAAAAATGTTTAAAAAAAGATTATTGTAGCAGAAATTTATACTTTTACAGCCGTCCTAAAATTCCTCTGTTGAAACATATATCATATACATAAAGTTGATTTTTATCAGGTGCATTGACTCATTATCTACAACAAACGTGGAAAACTAAAATTATATAGGATCTGCGTAACATGTCTTTGCGTTGAATTGTCATTCAACACGTCACATATTAAATTTAATTCTCTCCTTTCTCGCAAACTATCGTATAGTAATAAAGAACCTTCTACCGCTCCAAATATAGCAAGGAAAGGCAAATTTATGTTAACAACTAGTACCTAACGCTGGTAATAACTAAGTATTAAATGGAGCATTGCATCTATCCCAAGTATAAATATATTTTTCCTGACAATGGATGATTCAATCGTTATATTTATTTGTCATCTATTTTGGCATGCAAAAGGACCACGATTTATATCCTGTATTTAACAACATACCATTTATGAAATTTATATCATTTTTGCCATTATAACCATAATGTCATGCATTTTAATGATTGATGATAATTGGTATAGACCTGTAGACCCGTAGCTTTCGAGAAGTTCCGAAATATTAAATAGAATTGCGTGTTCTGCGTTTGTATCTGCATTTTGAACAATTGCGTTGACGACACACGTGAACGGAGATTCTGCTTTTAAACAATTAAAAAGCATTTGTTTCAAGTGTTTATAGTCATGAAAGTATAAAGATAGTGATTTAACTTGGAAAGGACGATGCATGAACAGAACGGTCACTACAGTGAATATGGACAAATAGTAACAAAATTTAAAACTAGAAAAATCTCTAGGTAGGTTCTGATCCATCTGAAGGTTATTTCCAAGATAAAAGGCAAAACGAAGAACCTCTTATAAAATTGGATATGAAATTCGATCATCTGCGTAATAACTGAAACAGAACTCGTGTCATACATGTACATAAGAAAAACAAAATTAATCCTGATTACGTCAAGGCTATTAGACTGGCTTATATTGATAATAAATGTAAGAATCCGTTGTAAAAGATATATTACTGAATACATGGATGCCTTCTTGAATGTTACTATATATTTAGAGCTGATTATGTCCGATACTTACATTTCTGTACAGCAGTTGACACTGTACCATATGAAAATTTTAATCAAGTTTAAATTACATAGAGCAGACTAAATCATTGAAGCCAAGAAGGAAACAAAACTTAAGTATTCCCAATAGCGAATCAGATTGGTGAGACCACAGAGGTGGTACGACACAAGTTATGTTTCGGGACATATTAATAATTTACCAGAAGCTGTTACAAACCTTTATACCGTTTGCAAAAGATGTCAATGTATGTGGGATTTGTTTTAACTAACGATGATGATAACTATGAACTTCAGGAAGATTTTTACTTTTTAATTCGTTGTTCCCACAAATTAAAAGTAATTTTTCAAGACAGATTATTGCTTCTCTAAACTTTGGAATATATACGAAATCGAAGATGTTGGCGAAATAAAAGTTAAATAGGAGTTACATAAAAAGCATTGACATTTAAATTTAATACAACTGTTTGGTGTTCCATCATAAAAAAAAATAATCGGTGCTAATTGATTAAGAAAGTCCTCCTTAATATGGATAAATAAATTTTCATGTTTTTTTAGAAGGCTCTAATTGGAACACATTTGAAACATGCTAAGGGACTCATATCACCAAAATGTCAATATATTGATTGAACTCAATTTGTAACCTTTCCTTTAACAAACTCAATATCTGAGATTATATATATATATATATATATATATATATATATATATATATATATATATATATATATATATATATATATATATATATATATAAAAGCAACAAACTGATGAACAGTACAAAACTAGTAAATAACTAGCCTAAGCGCTTTCGACTCGTAAAGAGTCTTTTTCAAAGGCAAATACAAAACATATATGCGACAAACAAATAAACGAAAAAACGTGTTTGTAAACCTCTACATGGCTGTTTTCACAAGTGCTAAAACTATAAATACAACCAGCTTGTATAGAATAGTTGCGGAAACTGAAAACGTTGTATAATTCCCTAAAAGCTAACGCCAATTGCTAGT